GAGAAGGACATGGCGATGTGGGCTTCCCAGGAATGCATTCCTGGGGATCCCCACAGTGTGTGGCCCCGGCCACTCACCCGGTGAGAGAGGAATCTTCTGGAATATAGACAGCTGGTTCTTCTCTTAAAATTAAGAGTACTTTCAACTGGCCTGTACAATTTTCAGAGCTCCTGTATTTGGAAGGCTGGAAGGGCAGATATAGAAATAGTGTCTTGCTTTTACTGTTTCTTTCTGTCTTTCTTTCATTTTTTTTTTTTTTTTTTTTTAAACTAAAGCTACATAAAGCTTCGGAGCCCCGATGGCCCAGTGGTTCCTCGCTGGGCTGTGATCTGCAAAGCCAGCAGCTCAAACCACCAGCAGGCTCTGTGGGAGAAAGATGAGGCTTTCTACTCTGGTCAGGAGTTAGTTTCCGCACCTCACAGGGGCAGTTCTGCCCTGTCCTATCGGGTGGCTAGGAGTCAGAGCTGACCGGAGGGACTGCCGCGCTGGAGTTTGGGTGTGATTTACATAAAGCTTGTGAATTAAACAGAAAAGGAGGACCTGCGGGAAGGGGAAGACAAGGTCTTGCCTCAGGAGCTCGGGGGTGGGCTCTCTGTTGCAGGACCTGGGACAGACAGAGGTGGGGGAGGGCTTCGCGCTCTTTGCCGCCACTACCCCTGTCTTTCCTTGAGCACGTTTCCCACGTCCTCTGGCAGTCTGACCCAGAGAGCCAGGGCAGCAGACTCTCTAGGGCTAATGTGCAAAAACGTTTTCACCTCTTCTGGGGCCAGACCACATAGTACCCTTAGTAATGTTTATTAAATTTCTCGGATCCTGCGAACAGTAACAACACAATTGTAAAACATTTTTTAAATCGTTCTATATCGAATTACAGCAAGGAGACTTTTTGAATGTTTCTCCTTTTCCTTTGGTTACTCTTCCATTCTCACAAAACCTAACAACTACTGACGTAGGTTCATAAATCTGACTTACGACAGTATTGTGGCTCCAGCACCAGGACATTTGATAAAATCAATAACTATGGAAAGAAACACCAGCGGCGACGACAACAACCGGGCGTGCTAGTCCCCAGTGCAGAGGACATCACGTGATCTGAGGGCAGCGTAGCTCTGACTGCGTTAAAAAGTCCAAAAAGTAAATCAGCTGAGTTTTCGTCTTATAAGTAGGTTAGATAGACAGGGTGAAAGCATTAGCATATTGTTAACCAAAATACGAGGGATATCATTTAAAATGTAGCTTGTTGGAAATTAAAAATGTAACAGCCCCTCCTCACAGTAAAAGTCCCTTCCGAGCGTAATCAGTAGGGATGAAGGGTTTCTGGAATGGCCTGGTCTCTGTCTGAGGCTGAGACAGTGCCAGGTTACCCCAGACCCTGTCCCCAGCAGGCTTAGGGGGGCTCTGGCAGTGTCGTGGGTGGGCCAGTGCCTTGAACGTACCAGCCGCTCTGTGGGCGAGAGATGAGGGTCTCCTCCTGGGAAGTGTGTCGTCTCAGACACAGA